AACAGACAAAAATACTAACTTACAATATTAGCACTTTTTTTTTTAAATATGAAAGTCACACTGGAATTAAAAATAATAAATTTCGCATTTTTAGTTTCCTCAAGAATCTATCCTTAGGGACTTAAAAAGGGGGTGCAAAGTTTGTATGAAAAATATTATATCATGAAGCACATCCCAAAAAACTAGACGTAGAAATCTGATATTAGCAGCCTTTTATGACGTAAGCATCCAATAAGAAAGAATTTCGGAAAATTCAACTCTTAGTAAGAGAGGCGTTACCGTGTAGTGTTATCATATCCACTACCTCATATCATCCCGCGGGTGTCGTAAGAGGCGACAGTGGGAAACAAAACAGGAGATGGGTAGCAGCGTCTTCCTAATAACGATGTAGGCATTAACTACGATTAGGGTTACCAGATGACAGGAATTTTCCTGACATGAATGGAATTTAGCCCTCTCTTAGGGAAACAGGTAAAATTTGAAAATCTTAGAAATTTATAAATAGAAAGAGAAAAATATAAGAAGTACAAATTAAAATATTTATTAAACAGTTTAAGCACAAAAAAAATTATAATAAATGAATCCAATCTCAACAATAACATTGTTTCATTCATATGATCTAACTCATCCTTTTTATTGCTGAATATTGCGTATAATACGTCAAGCACATGCGCGAGTTTTTTTATTATAGATATTTTTGCTGCTTCTTCGTCAATGTCAGAAAATTTATTGAAAAGTTAGGGATTTTGTCATGAAAACTCATTTTCGGATCTGGTACCCCTAACTGCGATGGGATTTTGAAAAATTCAAATCATCAGAATATGAAATAAGGTGTTACAATTTGTACGATACATTTTATTTTTACGGGGTGATTCTACTCTGTTGATAAAATAAATGAATGGGTAGTTTTTGATTTTTTAAAACAACCCTTTACCTACTAAGTTCTTTTAAACTACGCAATTTCCACGCAACGGATTTTAAAAACGTTTCTCACTGCGATTTAGAGATTTTTTTACGGAAGTTTAATATGTACAATACATTCCTTACTAACTTTGAGTAATAAAAAGTGTTCAATATTTGGTATTTACAAGTCGTCAAAAATCGCTAAACTTTAAAGAGATACATACATTAAAATAATGTACTAAGGAATCGCAGTTCTTCAAAAAGTCTAGACCAAAAGTCCGCGCTAGCATACTCACCTTGCTGTGCACTTAGAAAATGGAGAGCGTGTATATTTTCAACGAAAGAAATTTTCAAGAAAGAATTGCATCACCGCCAAAAACTACACTAACAGCCTTCTTTCAACTTTGTCAAACCGACCCCTTTGCAAAAACGTTGTTATATTCTTAAGTCCCCCGCTATTATACTTGGAAAACATCTAGGAAGGAGTGGAAACGCCGTATTCAAGGCGAGCCTGTTGCAAATTGGCCCGGTGTAAAGTCATCAGATGCTTGGTAGTGTGTATGTACCGTCCATGTAACTAATTTTGAATGTTTCTATTTACGATTGCTACTGCACCATGTTCGGGGTCCTACAGGATATAAAGACCTTTAAACTGTCAACTGTCAGGAATGCGCAACTTATAGAGAAGCATGTGAAGCTCTGCATCTTTTATAAAACGATAATCACTGGGATGAAACCATGGAGGAAGCTGTGCAGTTCCAGTCACCAGCCAAAATTAGGGATCTTTATGCAACTCTCATATCATCTTGCGGGCAATCTAATGCACATGAATTGTGGGACAAATATAAAGAGTACATGGCGGAAGATATTTTGAGAAGGTTACAGCAGACACACGCGAACATGACATACAATGAACACATTTATAATGAAGCGCTTGGAAAAATTGAAGATAAAGTAATGGCAATGGTAGGCAAAAAAAAATAAGCGACTTTGGAATGATAAGCCCTCAGCGAACAACCGAAAATGAACTAAGTGATGAAATTGTACGTGAAACAAACTACGATATACCAGCTTTGCAGCAGCAAGTAGCCGAATTTGTACCCCGCTTGCTTAACACCGAACAAAAACGAGTTTTTGACAAAGTATTAGGACAAATTGAATCTGGAAATGGTGCAATTTTCTTTTTAGATGCCCCTGGAGGAACTAGGAAGACATTTTTGTTATATTTATTATTAGCGTAAGTACGGAAAGATAAAAACATTGCTGTGGCTGTAATTTCCTCCGGTATATCCGCTACGCTGCTAAGCGGGGGCCGCACTGTAAATTCTGTTTTAAAACTCCCTCTAAATCTAGCCCAGGAAGAATTGCCGATTTGCAACTTATTCAAAAATAGTGAACGAGGTATAATGTTACGACAATGCAAACTTTTAGTGTGGAACGAAATTACAATGTCGCATAAAAAAGCTGTAGAAGCACTAAATCGAACGCTCCAGGATTTGCGCAGCAATACCGATTTAATGGGAGGAATGGTGGTTTTACTGGCTGGTGACTTTCGTCAAACTTTAGCTGTCATTCAAAAGGGCATACCTGCAGATGAAATTAAAGCATGCCTCAAGTCGTCTATTTTATGGAACAAGGTGACAAAATTCAGTTTAACTACGAATATGAGAGTGCATTTGTATAATGATATCAATGATGGAAACTATGCTGACAAACTATTAAAAATTGGCGATGGGCGATTGGAAACGGATGCTGAGGGCTGCGTTAAATTGACGAGAGATTTTTGTAATTTAGTACAGAGTCATTCCGAATTAATCGCGATCATTTATTCAGATTTAACGAACAACATGCATGAAGAGAAATGGTTATGTGAAAGGGCGATTCTTGCACCGAAAAATGAGAGCGTTAACAAAATAAATTCAGATATATTAAGCGAAGTAGCAGGAGAAATAACAGAGTATTTGTCAGTAGACACAGTTATGGACACAGAACAGAGCACTTCATATCCCGTAGAGTTTTTAAATTCTCTAGAGATGTTAGGTGTGCCCTCATATAAGCTTCAATTAAAATTAGGCGTCCCAGTCACGCTAATGCGAAATTTAGATGCTCCTCGGTTATGTAATGGGACAAGGCTGCGTGTGACACATCTTGAATGGAACATAATCGGTGCTAAAATCTTGACAGGCGTAGGAAAAGGTGAAAATGTAATTATACCACGGATCCCTTTAATTCCCACAGATCTTCCTTATTCAATTTAAAAGGTTGCAGTTCCCTATTAAGCTCAGTTTTGCAATGACAATTAATAAAGCGCAAGGGCAAACGTTACAGGTAGCGGGGGTCAACTTAGAAAAACCGTGCTTCTCTCATGGTCAGGTGTATGTAGCATGTTCGCGTGTGTCAAATGCCCAGAATATCCACATTCTTTTCCCGAATGGAAAAACATATAACATTGTGTACAGTAGCGTCTTAAAATAGTGTTCAGTTAGTTTTTTATTCCAAAATTCCCACAATCAATTAATCAAAACTCCCACAGATCTTCCCTTTCAATTCAAAATTTCCTATTTAGCTCAGTTTCTTTTCAATTCCAAATGCTGCACCTCTGACGGACCTATTAAGCTCAGTTTCCTTTCAACTCAAAATGCTGCATCTCTGACGGATCTTTTATTTGGCTCAGTTTCCTTCCAATTCAGAAAACTGCATCTCTGACGAATCGATTTAGCTCAGTTTCTTTTCAAAAGTCTGCATCCCTGACGGATAATTATGCTCAGTTTCCTTTAATTAAAAAAATATTCCATTTCCATTTGGAATAAACAGGCTATTTTTACGCTTTCCTATACGCTGCGTTTCTAAACATTTAAATAGGCTGACGAATCAATTTTGCTCAGTTTCCTTTTAAGGGCTGCATCTCTGACAAATCTATAAAACTCAGTTTTCTTTCAATTCAAAAAGCAATGGATAGTTCATTTCCCAGTGACCATGCGCGCGAAGCCGCGGGTAACAGCTAGTAGATTATAGATTACATACGACAGTAACATAATTACATACGGTAGTAGGTACGACCAAAGCATTGTAAAATCGCTTGTTTTGGAACAACTAACTCAAACTGCAGGAGTATTCTTATTCCAATACAATACGGTATTACAGTTTTCTGCCTTTTTAAGTGCCTTATTATGTCACCATGTCTATTTGTCCGTCCGTTCGCGGTTTTATTCAGAGACCCAAGGTGCTATAAATCTGTAATTTGAAAAAACTGTGGAATAAAATAAAAATAAAACATTTTCATTTTGGGTACCTGGGCCATTTTCAAATTTTGTGCAGGTTTTTCTTACTTTAAATCTAAAAAAAAAGATTTTTTCCTAAAACTATTGCTTTATCATTTTTTCATTTATATTTGACTATTATATACATTAAATTTTAATGTACTGTTGGTCACGATGTTTTTTTAGGAATTTTGAGTTTTTTTTTTCAGACTTTATCGTTGGAGGCGAAATTAAATACTACTCTGTTACCAATGTATTTTCCATGTATGTTATGTCATCATGTATGTTACCAATGTATATCATTTTTCTTTTATTTTTATAACGAACACATGAATCACAAGTTGTTTGGCATTATTGTTAATTATAGTCTAAAATATTTTGAAAACATGCAGAATCATGCTTCAAACTATTACTAATATTTATTTAAATAAATTCTTAAACAACTATGTTACTTTTGATACATTAACAAACTGTATTTTTTACTAAAGTCTCTGGAAATTTAACATCTTATAATGCTATTTTGAAAACCACGAATATTATTAACTGGCTCATAGCCCATTTAAAATATTTTGAGGTCTAGTTTACCTAAAAAATATATTTTAGACCTTACAATCTTTGGGACAGAAAAGTAACATAGTTGTAAATAATTAACATAGTTGTTTTTGTACTACGCCTTGTGTAAAAACTTAAGCTTATCATTTAAAATTCTTACATGAGACCACACTAACGATATTCTCATAACTAAGCAGTTCTAAAAACTAACAGATAAAAATAATTACGAGATCATATTTATCACAATGAGACCAACACTACTTCTCAAATATTTATAATGGAGAGTCAAACTGGTAGTATACTCTTTTGCCTTTGTATACTTTTTTTTGGGTCTGGGACGATTGCAATTAAATTTTCAAAAGGCTCGTAAGACACATCAGTCTCAATCAGTCTAAATTTTTTTGCAGTATCGTCCATAGATCTGAAAAACATAATTTTTACCTCGCCATCATCTTCTACTTCGCTCAGCACTTTTCCCAAATAAATGTAGTCTTGCTTCAGGCTTGAAACTTTGAATAACACGCACACACCATGTTTTATTTTAACAATATGAATATTTTTCTTCTCTATCAAAGCATCATTATCAATTCCTTTTGATGTACTGGGTTGTCCAAGTGAAAAGTTGTCCTTCACCGTTAATAAAGGGATATCATCATCAGTGTCAGAACCGTAGACAGTGTTATAGAATGGGTTTCTTTGTGGATGGACTAAGTTGCCTATTTCTTTCATAAAATCTTGTTCACATTTATCAGAGCTTGATTTTTCATCCACGGGTTTTAGTGGATGGTATTCTTTGGGATCCATGCAAGAACAAAAGCCGCGCCTGCACTAACAGCTCACGTCTCTATATTTGAGAACTCCTTTCTCTTCAGTGAACACCTGGTGAACTTTCATGGTGCCAGATAATGGTAAAACATTGTCTGGAATCTCCATGGACCATATATTAATGTCTTCATCAGTAATAAAATGCATTTTTATTTTACTAATATCCTTTAAAGCAGAATAGAACATTGAGGCATCAGCAATATCCTGTCCACGTACGACAAGTTGATCAGCAGTGCGTTTCAAAAAGCCACCAACTCCGTCTGCTGCACCCTTGCCGTGCCCTGCCTCGAAAAAATTCCATGTTACTCTATAGAAGTTATATTCAGAGAAAAATTTATTGCAAATCAGATAATAATTTTGTTTTTGCCGGTACTGTGAGGCAAGCCCACCTGAGAACACGTGTATGATTTTTACTTCTGTATAATTTTCTTGAATATAAGATAAGATGGGATGAAGGTGAGCCCAGATTGCAGCTGGATTGTGAGTTACATTACCAGAAACGGTGCAAAAGGATGTCACCTCTATTTTATTATCTGAACCTCGCAGTTACATGACTCCAGTGTGTATTTGCTTGATTTCGTGTACCTCCAAAATGATGGGCCTGTATTTCTTCGAAATATTTACAACTATAATTCTCACTGAAGTCAACATGTAATGCTACTTCATTTTCGGACAATTCGTCTATACAAGCTTCTGTATTGTGACTTTATGTAATAAACGTGCCTTTTGAACTCTTGGAGTTAAAATTTAAACACACCTATTAAAGATTTTACAGTACTCTGCTTTTCTTCTTTTATATTTTTAGTAATTTTGTATTTTTTCCCAGCTTCTCTACAATTTCATTTTTCCTTTACCACTGAACATACTTTACTATTAAGTCATCCTTTGTACTATCATATTCAATTTTTTCAAATAACATTCAGAGCACAGTCCTGTCATGCAAGCTAGTAAATTTTCATCGCATGTTTGTTCTTTTGTAATTTTATTTAAATCTGAGGTCGGAATTACTTTATTTTTACACAAAGCAATAGCCAAGTACTGAACGTTTGTGTGCAATCGACATAAACATGTTTCTCTTCCAGCAACAGTAGGAAGCATTACATAAGACGGTCTGCATCGAGTAAAAGTAGTGTAGGAGCATTTCATCTCAGGATTTTCTCGTTTAAACGAAGAAAAGAGGTTCTTTATGCTGTCCAGTAGGTAACGTTTTTACATTTTATTTTTCTTATGGGTAACGGTTTCTTTTTTTCCCGCAGTTGCTCTCGATACATCATCACGATTAAAAAAATCTTTAATTTTGTCACTTACAACTTTTTTATTCAGCTTTGGTTGTTTCTTTCTTATGTAACCTTGATCCACATTCAAGCACTCTTTTATTATTTGCATTTTCTTTCTAGAACATTTAACTTCCTTCTCCTCAAATATTTTTTGTATAGCTATCTTTTCTTTCCGACTTTTAACTTTTTCATAACGTTTTTTAATAGCTTTCGCCAATATGTTATACTTATCTTGACTTTTACAATCATCGCTTTCATTTTTCGACCCTTTTTGTTTTCCTCTATTATATCTCTTCTTGTATTTTTCATATTTTTTATTTATTTCTTCAATTTTTTCTTTTAATCTTTGATTTTATTTAAACAGTTTTGTTCTGTTTCTTTTTAATTGTTTCCGGCCCCATTTTGCTGCAGATGTCGTTGAACTAGGGCTACTTTCATGGGGAGTCAATAGTTGAGGGGTTGATAAACGGCGATTCGACGGTAGAACTCGTGGCAGAACTTGGTTTGGACCCAGCGGAGTTGGAGTACGTGAACGTGGAGTCATAATTCCCGGTGAAGATTCTGGAGTATGCATTACTACACGAAGAGCCTTGGTCCGGTCCCTCCGTCTGGCATTTGCAGCGCGCCATTTTTTTATTGCTCGGTGTTCCTGTGACGTTGCGTTTTTCACTAAACGTTTCTTTGCATGGTATCTTTCGAGGTCTTTTCTTTTATTTGCAGCTTCTTTTTCAGGATCCTTTTTGCGTCGTTCCCTATAACGTCGCTGCTTTTCAGCAGGCGTTAAAGCCATATAGAAAAGCGATCAGCAGTACAAGTAAAAGTCCTGAAACCAATAATTTTTTACTATAAAACTTATGAAATAAGATTGAACCATGATAAATAACCACTCTGTTACTCAGCTTACAACGCTGTTACTTCTAACTAGTAACAGAGTTGTTCAGTAACAGAGTGGTAAATTTTAGATTCCATACAGAATTAGTCATAATATAAGGCATAAAGGGAAATTATTGCTACATATTTGAGACATGCACACCTAAAACAAGATATTGATTACTTACCGAAAATATTGGTAACGGTGTGGTTGTTGAATAAAGATACGCTCCTCCTTCAACAGCGCGCGGTCGACTGACTCGTGTCAGTCGTTCCCCCGCCCCCGCGAACTTTCTCAAACAATTTTAGACACTGCACCGAGGTTATTGCAGGCGCCATAGTAGCGCTATCTGTATTTTTAAAGTGAACTACTATAGTAACAGAGTGTTGCTGTGATATTACATGGAACGCGGGACAGGGATTTTAAAAAAGTAAAAGAAAACAATTTAGAACAAAATTTTGTTTAAAAGCATTGAACATGTAATAATAATTTCTATATTTATTAATCATAATTTTTTTTATATATCTATGTAGGAAAAAAGCAAGTTTTTCTACGTCTTTTTGCACTGTACTAATGTCTGGGGCATAGTGAATTTGTATGGAAAACACCTCTGTTACCAAAAATAACCACTATGTTACTTTTAAAAAAATGTGAAAAAATTAGCATAAAAGTTTATTTTATATAAAGTATGTTCAATTAATTTATTTATTCATTCACTATTACCTTAAGTTCGTAAACTTTTTGATATTAAAACAATAAAAAATATGTAAATCATGAGGGGACAAGAAAACCTGCAGAAAATTTGAAAATGGCGCACCTCCCATATAGGTAAAAATGGAGGATGACTTTTTTTTAATCCGTCTGTATATATCCTCGTCTATCTATATCCATCGTGTGGGGTATCGTTTGATAGTTCTTTCAAAACATTGGGGGAAATATTAAGCTTTAAAGTCGAATTATTCATGAGAGTCATATCCCCCCGGGGGGGGGACTTTACCAACTAAACCGTTGTTTTTAGAAATGTGATAAGTGTGCACTAATAACATGTATAATGAAGTTAAAAGAAAAACTATTATAGCTAAGGAGAATTAACAAGTTAACGAGTAATGGTCGACCAACTTATGAAATACACTTGGTTTAGTAAAAATTTGGTTACAATTCCATAGAAAATGACATAAAACTAGCTGCATTACTTTGTAATGTTATCGTAATCTGAGAACTGTAAAAAATGAACATTTTATGAAGAAACCGACTTATTACATTACTGCTATAGCTTTACTTTTTTATTTGCGGGATAAGCAGGGAGGATCTTTCTGACTAGTAATTACTTACGCGGCGGCACGGCGTATGCGGCGGCGGAGTGTCGGCCGCTGAGCAGGGGGGTGATGTGTGAAACAAACCCAAGCGTAAATCACGCTATCAAAATTCCGAATCATAAACAGTATATACGCTCCCCGGGCAGAACACCAAGCACGGCGGTAGATCTCCCATTTTTCCTTCCACGGCCACACTTATATATAGCCTCATACAGGTTCATTCGTCATAATCTTCGGTTACGCGGGCGACCCTCAGGATAATTTCGGGCAGTGGTGGTTTACGGGAAGGTACGTTACGGTTATATATAGGGTTGCGCTCTCGGGAATATATCGATAGATAGACAACTAGACCATCTTTGTCCGAATTTTGCAGGTGAATGATTTGATGTAAATTGATATATTGTATTCAAAAAAGATGAAAAAACTTTTATTTTAAAAAAAATTTTAATCTTTTTTGAATACCACTCCCTATATGTCTGATTTCAAAATAAATCCTTCAGTTAACTTCAAATCCTACGTACTCCAGGTTCCTGCAAAATACAAATAGTCATTCCTTGCTCCCGGTTTCTGGACCTCTGGGGTAGTGTTTTGCCAATACAGGGACACGACAAATAGAACGAAGAAGAAGAAGAAAATTCCCTAAATAGCGTTATATTAATATTTTATATATATTTTTTAGGTTAAGGTGTATATTGTTATGGACCAATGTTCTTAATTTTAAGTCCTTGATGCCTGAAATAAAGTTATTATATTGTATTGTATTGTAGTTACAATATTCCTGTTTGGGCCCATTTTTAGTCGAACCATTTTTCGGCGAACTCATTTATTATGCTCATTAACAAGATATTATTAAAATCATATTTTTTGCACCTTGCACCCGTAATATTTTTGCTTTACCTAAACTTAGACTGGTAGAGAATGATTTGTCGCAAAATGTCTGTCATTTTGTACATGCTGAATTTGTGCAAATAAAGTTAAAATGTATAAACAAAAACACAGTATGCCTATTGGACCTTTAGGAAGATTCATTCTAAGTTCAAAATGTTTAGTTAATCATGAAATTTTTCCTATTTATCTCTTTGCTATGATGACAATATTCCATAGGCGTGACATGTGCTCATTATTTACGTTTTGCTGGGTCCTTCGCAATCAAATCTCATTATTTCAAGCTCACATTATTCATATCTTTATTTGTCTTCCGTTATCTTGCTTTTAATACATAGTAACAGCATTTCTATATTAACCGATTTAGGTATGATGATATTAGATATGAGAGAACGGGAGTAAACTGTCAACAGTCAATGATGACAGTCATTCAAGTTCACAATGGGCCTAAGCGATCAAAATAACTTGAGGTTTATATCAACATTGAAGAATTTGTTTCGTCGTTTCCTCTAATAGTTCACATGCGCTGACACTTACGAACGCTAAATCGCTTTACTTTTACGTGACAAAATCCTAAAAACGAAAACGCTAAATCGCATTACTTTTACGTGACAAAATCCACTTGAAACCATTATTTAAACGATAATATAGAAGCAGCCATCCGTCTCCGCAAAAACACACAGTAAGTAAAGTAGTAGTAAGTTTCGTAGATTATAGTAATTTTAATACCACAGAGATATAACTATACAAAATTACATTTATTTTTAAGATGATAAGCATATAAATAAACTGGGGAAAATGAAAAGCATAATATAGTGTAATATATAAATTAACTACAGTACAGTACTTGGATAGTAGTAGTTTAAATGATTTACGAAAAAATCGACTCTCGATATCTATATTTCACGCTTTGCCCACTGCGCGACCGTCGTATGCCTGCGTCATCGGGCGAATGCGCTAGGATTTTACAAAAATAATAATAAAGACGAAGTGGAGCCGCTTGGGGCCAAAATAAACAAAAGACTAAAATTAATGAAATAAATATTCGATCTGTTTGATAAAATAATATATTGAGTTTTATAAAGTAATAAACTTTTCATATATTTTTTTTATTTTATAGAAGAGCGGCAAACGAGAATACGGTTCACCCGATGTAAAGTGACTACCGCCGCCCATGAACAACTGCAACACCAGGGGAATTGCAGGTGCGTTGCCGGTCTTTTAGAAAGGAGTAAGCTTTTTTCTTGAAGGTCCCTAAGTAGTATCGGTCCGGCAAAATCGCCGGTGATAAACTGTTCCACAGAAAGGTCGTACGTGAAAGAAAACTCCTAGTGAAAAGTAGTGCTGGACCGCCAAGCATCCAGATGGTGTGGATGGTAACGGGAGGTTTGCCGTGTCGTGCGTTCATGAAATTTGGTGGCTGAGATTAATCCGAACAATTCCTCAGACCACTCCCCATGGTATACGCGAAAGAAAATTCAAAGAGATTCTACATCTGATGCTTCGTAACTCTCCTGTACGTCAAAGAGGATATCTGTTCTCGACGCCTCGGCAGTCTTGAAGGTTTGGAGCTGTCCATCCTTAGGCTACGCGTAGACAGTGACGACGGGTGCCTCTATAGGTTCCATAGCGGTAATGCCGAAACAGACCGACTCTTCGACCACGTCCAAATGGCTACAGATTCTTTGCTACAGCAGATCCCCTTCGCAGAGATCGTGATCTTCGGCGATTTTAACGCCTAACACGCCGAGTGGCTTGGTTTATGTTTAACCGATCATGAGGGGAGATATGTTCATGATTTTGCCTTGGCATATGGTCTGACACAACTGGTTACTTTGCGTACGCGGATTCCAGATATGGATGATCATACACCTTCCCTGTTGGACCTTCTGCTGACCTCTGAAACCGCTGAAGAGATGCAACATCTCTTCGCAGCACCAGTGAATCAAGCCGATCGTAAAGCACTCGGTCGTCGACGATTCTAGCCGCTTTGCGCTGGATGCGCTCAAGGGGAACGAGCTGGCACTGGGGAGCCCCAGCCCAGAGTTGGAAACAGTATTCAATGTGCGGCCGAACCTGCGCCTTGTAAAGTTGCAGGCGGTGTGCCGGCATGAAATACTGTCCCGCTCTGCTGAGCACGCCAAGCTTTTTAGAGGCCAATTTGACCTTCTCTTCCAAGTGACCACGAAACTGCCCGTCACTTGATATATCGACGCCGAGGATTCCGATACTGGTGGAGGCAACAGGGGCTGTGCCTTGAAACTGAGGAGATACGGCAAAGGGGTTCTTTATAGCGGTTAACGCTACGCGCGTTTAATTAAGCTACATAACACATATACACTACATTTAATTTAGTTTTCTTTATATTTCTTATGGTTCCTCCCCCATTTAGTGGACGATATAAATTTTAATTTTTAGTTTAGAAATGTCACAGATTAAGTTGCGTGACTTTTATAAATTAAAAATTGGTATTATTTCCTATCTTTTAAAACAAAAATAATATTAACACTCAAAAAGATATTTTTATTCATGATAAGATAAGTATTAAGACAATTTTAAGAAATGGATCAGAAATGATGATAATTTTATTAATTATGGTTAATTTTATTTATTCAATAAATGTGTTACTTATTTTTAAGTGTCTATTTTATTTTATTTTATTTTAGCGTGTGCGACATCCCATTGATACTTGCACTCCCGGAGTACGCTAGCCGTAGG